CGGGAACGGCGTGGGCGCTCGCTGAGGGCCGGGCGGGCTTTGCAGAGCCGTGCGGCGAGACGCGGGCTTGGTGCCGGCCATGTTGTTACCATAAAGGCCTTAGCAGAGTTAGAATAGCAAGGCCTTGTTGCTTATTTAGGATAAGATTGAGAAATGTGTTTGAAGCCCTTGCCTTCAGGCTGCCAAGAAGAGCCTTTAAACCAAGGGAGCTGTCCTTGAGGGAGATCAGAGCGCCCTGAGAAGACTGCTTGTTAGCGCTTGGCTAGTTTTGGCCAGTTCTGGCTGAAAAGTAGTGTCCAAAAGTAACCTATCCTTCATTATAATACATTATAATACTAAAAATCCCACCCCCTGGGGGAAGGACCCCCAGACCCCTACTCACTGAACACGGGCAGTGTGAAAATGCTGACCTAGTGTTACGTGATTGATGTAACCAGTCGGCAGCGTGGGATTGCCCCAGGGGCTGAAACTTCTTTGATAAGAAACTGAATAAAGGAATGCCTGCTTCGATACGTGGTGTGCACGCTAGGAGGAAACACCCCTGTGCATCCAGCGCTGTAACGAAGAATGACTGCTTTCTAAGATTCCCAGACGAGTTTTAGAGAGTCTTTGTTTTTGCCAGGTGATGGTGTCGGTGTAAGCGGGAGCTGTAGGGTCACAGGTCACAGGCAGGGCGCTCTGTGGTTGCGCAAAGCTGTGGTCGCACGGCGATGTCGCACAGAAATGGTGCAATGCGCTGATTAAATACCGTGCCGCCGCAGGCTGACTCTGTGTGTTTTAGTGTCACTGGTTCCCTGTGATGCAAAAAGGCAAGAAAAAAGCCTTTTCAAAGCTGCGTGTGCCCAAACATTCATCGTGTAAGCAGTATTAATTAAAATGCAGCGGCTTTGAAATAAGTTTCTGAAATCATTGGTCGATAGTCATTAAAACTTAAAGCTAAGGAGCTTTAATCAAGTACAGGTGTAACAGCAACGTTGACAGGAGGACCGAGCTGGATAGCACAAGGCAGAAGCCCCCTGCTCCCTCTGCGACACGTAGAGTATGCCATTTGCAAGGTCTTGGGAAGGGTTAATTCTCGCTTCATTAACCTGACCCTTGTCACAATACTGATTTTTTTAATCTGTGCCTGATAGCTATGCGAACATGTGTCTATGCTCAGCTGGAAGCCTGTGAATCGAGTATAACTCCGCTGAATCGGTGTCAAAGTAAAAGAAAAGTGCAGGCCGCAAGACCGACACCTTTGACTTCCATCTCCTGTAGCCTGGTGTGGTTTTGTACGCCTGAGTTTCTCTGAAGGATGTGCAGCAGGTTCCCCCTTCTGGCAGCGTGGGTTCCAGGACGGCAAGCCATCTGCTCCGGTTTCTAATCATTCCCAGATACTTTCAGTTACTCTTTAGCAGCAAAAAAGACATTTTTTTGTGACCAGGGATGCTGGAGTCAACATCCACAATTAGCCTCATTTCTGGCTTATGATGATTAAACTGGAAGATTGACTGGGAGAGGCTCGGGAAGACATTGGGAGAATGCATCGGGAAGGAGCGAAAGAAGAGTCAGCTGATAGGGATTCTAATACCATAACAATTAGAAGTAGACTAAGGCATGAGGCTAATTAACACTTTTTAAATTGGAGATGCAGAGCCTGATTTTCCACTTCTTTTCCCAGCCTCTCATCTCTCACTGAAGTGGTTGCAAAGTAGGCACTAGAACTACCTGCTGTTTGGGGACCATTTTTCTGCAGGTGGAGGAGGCTCTACAGGTAAACACCACCAGAGTATTAGGACTCCCAGTGTGTCTGCTGGGCGTTCTCAAATGTGTAATAAAAAGACTGACAAACATCTATGCTAAACCAACATTAAGGCTTTGAATATTGCCCCAGTAAATCAAGTTTAACCACTACCAGATTATTTTCTTTATTGCAAAAGAAAATGTTAATATATCCAGGAGATTTCTTTAGATGCAACTGACATGTGGAAACACACGTAGAAGACCACCAGACATTTAATGCTGCCAAACTGTGGTGTCACAAGGGAAAAAACTTTCTCATCAGTCTTCAAGATCATGTATTTCTTAAACAGACCTAGGATGACAAATCCATGTCTTTGTCAGGAGTGCTTGTTTATTGGCATTTGTAATTTAGGAAGGGCTGAATACACACGCATGCAAAACACTGATTTCTAGAGTCTGGTTTGCTGTCAGTCATAACACTAAATTTTATATTTTCTTTTAGCAACAGTTGTCTTTCACAGATTGGCCTTAATTTCATTTAGACAGAATGTTAAACCATTGTTTGTTCCCAAAAGTTAATGGCTTAAAAAGTGCCATACTTTGGAAAATTTGATAAGGAGTATCACACTTGGCCCGTTACAGCCAACAAGTCCTCTTTGGTTTATATCAATTTGCCTTCTTCCAACTTTCCCCTTCACTGTTGTTCTGCACCTGTTGTCACTTCTTGTTCGATATAGTCTCTCCTGTTGAGCAATTCGGACCATGCTACTGTTGGCTTTAACTGGAGAGAAGACATTAAATTATATCTGAAGAAATCAAGTTTCAGCTATTGGCTTCTCCCTTTCCCAATTCTGCCCTGCTAGGATATTGCTGACTGAGCAGAGAGGAGGGGCAGAAATTGATTCCTGAGTTATTAATGCTTTGGCTTCCAGCAGTTGTGAGGGGATT